AATATAAAGTAATTAGACATTAGAGGTAGATGTTAAGCGCCATCTCTTAAGTAAATTAATAATTATTATTAAATAAATAAATTATTAAATAAATTTAGAACCTTCTGGCGTAACTGGCAAGCGCACCGCACGGCAAGCGGAGGTTGCGGTTCAGGCCCCGTCCCGGGCCAGTTCTTTCATTTCAGAATGTTCTAAATTCATTTAATAATTTATTTATTTAATTATAATTATTAATTTACTTAAGAGATGGCGCCTAACGTCTACCTCTAATGTCTAATTAGTTTATACTAATCATTTAATTAGCCATATTATAGCCCGATATTAAGGCGATCGTTTGGTGATTTACAATATCCTTATTTTGATCAATTTCCTTGAGTACCTTTCAATAGTATTCAAGCTTTCCTTGTTATTCATATACGGTGAGATGTACTCATTGATTACATTGATGGAAGGGTCATGTTGGATAATAGCTGTGGTAATTATGTTCGATGAGAGGTGAGGTATAAGCGCAATGTCCATTCTGTTGTTTACGCCAATGAAGCACTTAGTGATTTTACCATTGCTGTTGTATAATATTTGCCAGTTGACAAATCTCACAACCGCACTATTTTCGTATGTGGTTTCTGCACTAGGATTATATCCGCCTGCAATTCATTTGCTTTGTGTATCATTAGAGAGCATGGGGCTTTTCGCTTTTGTGCATTAAGTTGAAGAATGTTGAGGCTTCTCAGAGATGCAGTAGGAATTGCTTGTATTATTGCCATGGGTAGCGTTTTCCAGAGTACTACAGTTAATTTGATTATTACTACCCATAATCGGTTTTGTTCGCTGTTTGAGCCTATAACTTTATTACCATCAGACAACGGCTACTAAAGGCATTGTGGATTGTTGGCATTCTCTTGTCTCGAGGAATTTCTTTGTTAGCATTTCCGGAGTTCATACGGTGTGGTATCTAGTAGCTGTCATTCTTTGTAGCAGTGCACCTTACAACAATGGCTATACCTCTGATTTTCCACACAGTCTCGTGCTAGATGATTAAAACCACAACACTGATAACAGCGTGTGACTGGTAAGAAGTCGTCTATGTATATATTTGCCCATAACATAGAGATTTGCCTGTGGGCAATTAATACGTTACAAATAACTGAAATAAGAGAAAGAACAACATGTCGGCAATTTTCTTTTGTTCTTCTACCTTTTAGTATTGTGCTGATTTTGCAAGCTTCTCATACCAATGTTTCGTCCTTGTTCTTCCAGATATTATTCTGTTCTGTCATGACTTCTATAATTTTTTCTTCGGGGATGCTGTTTGGAACGTTTAAGAGAATGACTCTTGGTCATGTTTTTTCTGTCGTTTTGCACTTAATCTTGTCTCTAATTTCCGGGAGCTTCTCTATTGCTTCCCTTAATTTTATCCCCGTCATCCTCGCATTTGACTCACATTTGACATACACAGCATTTGACATACAAATGCTGTTTGACTTGACAGGTTTGATTGTTTTTACCTTTATTTGAAATTGGTGGTTCAATCTTGTAAATAATTTCTTTATTTACCACGCTCATGTTAACATGTGAGCCATTCTCAGCATTAGAATACACCAAAACAGTGTAGTTTCCTCCAATCCCTTCACTCTTCACTTTAGTATTTAACGAGTTCGTTATAGCATTCGTTGTCTTGCTTAGCCTTGATCAATTTTTAATCACCTCTGCAAACAAGCGTGGTCTGCTCTCCTAACTTTGTACTGGTTGAATCTTCATTTCTCTGACACCATGTAGAATTCCTTGCAGTTGCCCTATGCATGAGAACATGTACGTCAATCTTTCGCGAATTTCCTTACGTTCTTCGGTTTTTATGTTTGAATTATATTATACCAGTACACGGTCCACAATTCTGATTAAACGATCGTGAGCGTCGTAAAATATAGTATATTTTAGCGAAGTAATGACTACTTGAAATTCCGTGTCCATTTTGATAACTTAACACCTCACCAATCGGTCTTAGCAATCTAGAATTCTAACAGAGCGTGAAAATTAGCAGTTCAGTACGGCCTGCAACACAGACCGCAAACTAACATAATAGTAGATACTAACCACGATACAAAATCGATACAACTCTGCTAGACAGTACCGCCGAAACCATACACAGAAGCGTCGAGCGGTTGTGATTACACACCCGTGCCACAGTCTCCGAATTATGGTCCATGATGTGAGAAAACAAAGGCCTTTGTTTAACCCGCCGATAAAAACCGTTATAAACTTGATAAAAATCGCGTAGATATAGCAGATTTAGATGTATGTCGCCCTAAACAGCCGGCCCGCAGAGCACAGCAGAAAGCCCGCCCAAAGTCGACGAAACGCGAAAATTTGTAGAACGGCGGAAATTAAACCAATTAATAAAATTAATATATATATATATATATACCAAACGATAATCGCTATTCACGATAACTACTTAACTAAAAATTTAAACTAATCCGTTAATAAGAAAACGCAATCCGAAACTGCCGAAAGTGGGCCACGTGGTCTCAGATGATAAGCAGCCATAATAACATAAATTATGGACGGAATTACACAAACGTAACGTCAATTTAATCTTCGTGATCTCAGTAATCTGAAAAAGACAAAACTCACAGTTACGCCGATATAACGCCGATGTAGTCTACCATATCTACAGCAGCTGGTCAAATTAAAATGTCACATCTTGTCCCATTGAATTGAAAGTGGAAGTAAAATTATGAAAATGGTTTAATATTTCGTAGCGTCCGTGTGAGGAAACCGCGGCTCCCTAGAGTGCCGTGGCTCACACTTTGGGAACCGCTGCTATAGGTCAATGAAATCATACACGTATGAAAACTTAGCACCTAAAACATATTTACAACTACGAAAAATTAATAGAGTAACTCGTAGAGTTTTAATTATATAAATTTATTTTAAAAATTTATAGATAAATTAATATATGAACAAAAAACATTATATCATGCAAACTATTGATTTTTAAATATAAATTAAAATATTTTTAATTGACCCTACTAGAAACGTGCATAAGACAGTTAATGTTAATCTCCATATTAAATTAGAAAATAATATAAAATTTAAAAATATTAAAAAATAAATGAAGTATTAAAACTTCTGTAATAAAGAGAAAATATTAATTTACAATGAAAAGGGTACCAGGAAGAATATTTTTTAAGAAACCAAAAATAAGTTAAAATTAATTTTCTGACGATGTAAGTCGCTCGAAAATACAGCTAAAATTAAAAATTGCAATTACTCTGCCATTATTTGTTAAAGACGAATGTAAAATCTTTTGTTCACTTGACTACTTCCACGTGTGCTACTTTATGAATTGTTTGCATTTAAATTCAATTATTTTTCGTTTATTCAGTTGTATACTACAAAAATATCAAATGAAGGTCGCTTCTATAATTTTGAAAACAAAAATATTATTTCAAGATAAACTGATATTTGTCTATTATACGCTTTACGGCAAACGAATAAAATTAAAAAATATATAATATTCCGCTTTTATTACCGAATTCAATAATTTAGACTTTTAGAATTCTTCTAACGGAAGAAGAAACATATTTATATTCATGAAGAACGCACAAAGGCAGGAATTTGGGGCAATTTGTTCCAATTCTAAAGAAAGTCGAAAGTCGGTCCTATTGTCCCTATATAATGTTTTTTATGTTCTTTTTAACTCATTTAATAATTGAATTTTTTTGACGAGGATCCTGAAGACCCCTTGTTAAGCTTTTATTAACCTCTAGTCATATCTAATGTCCATTATGTCAGAATAAATAGTTTGGTAACAATTTCTTTTTGTTATAATTGGTAAATACAAGATTCGTAACAATAAATTTACAGTAAAACCTTCAAAAACGTGCGCTAATGGCAACTTGAAAAACGATATTTTTTGGGGAAATGGTTGTTCTTGGAAGTTTCAATGTATTTAATTTATATATAAGAATTCTATAGATTATTAGACATGTTACAAAACGAATAAGTATTTATAACGAATCTTGGAGTGCCGTGTTCAAAAACAGGATGTCACCTGAACAAACGAAATGTGAAATTCGTGTTGTTGACAAAGTACAGATTTCTACGCAAGTAAATTTGATTAATTTATTCCTATATTGCCGTTTCTAAAATATTTTTAAGTTTTATTTTTGAGAAACAATTTAAATACTAAATGAAAAATTTAGGTGTATCTTCAAACACGTTATTTTACTTATGTACTAAACCTGACAAAAATAATTATACAGGTGTTATTGCTATTCTAATTTTCGTGTTAGCCGTTTGAAGAAAACCCTGAAAATCTCACATGGACAGTTGGCTAATTAATGAGGCATAACACGTATCTAACTACTATATTTCAGTGGTTTAGATGCTAAACCTATGAGGGATGCAGGAATTATGAATCTTCTGTAGCTGTTTTTATGCACATAAACAGTAAAAATGTGACGTTTTTCTTTCTGGTGAATGTGATTTTGCCCCTTGGAAAAAGTTTAATAGTTATCAATGTAAAGATAATGGAATTTCGGATTTAAATTGTTACAGTAATAAATTTGAAGTAAAAAATTTCAAGAAAAAACTGTTAAATTTGTTTATTTAAAAAGTTGATTAAAACCTATCTAAAATCTTTTATATAAAAATAGATTTTTGTTGATTACATCTCATTTTCATATTTTTGTTATAAAAGATTATGAAACGAATTAAACTGAATTGAAACGACATTTAAATATTTAGAAAAATTAATTTTTAAAATTCAAATTATTAAAGAAATATCAAAATTTAGTTATTGCTAGAGCATTAAAATTGTTTATATTTTTCTTAAAAATCTATTAAACGAAACGATATCATTGGTGGAAATAAAGAAAACAAATAAAATCCAACTGGTGAAAATTTGTTGTCTACAAAAAGATTGATATTCTGATGTCATCCAGTGACGTAAATTGAAACAGTATAAAAGTCAGAAATAAGATAATTTAAAAAATACATTTAATCAGTTTCTTTTACTGTTCGTTAGGAAAATCGATCGACTGTCGAAGATGAGATTCGCTTTGATTTTTCTGTTTGGATTTATTGGTACGTAGGATTTTTTTATTCTTTATGCACGTGTATTGATTATACTTGTATCGGTTATTGACAATTAATATATACATAATTTCTATTTTCATTTAAACTATATTTTCTTTCTTGGTTTTGCGTATTTTATTGGTAAATTATAAAGAACTTTCCACATCCCAACGAGAAATGTTAGTTGAAACATCAATTAGTTTATGACTTATTGTGCAGTTAGAAAAATACTATTTGTAATTTCATATTTTATCAATTGTTTAATTATTGCTCAACAAGTCGTTAGCAGCATTTATGAGAAATCAAGTGAGAAGTAATGAGGTGAATGTTTGAAAAGTTATTAGCAGTTTGAGCATCTGACATTGATCGTAGGGATAAGAGTGAATAATTATATTCTTAACAAAAAACTTTACCAAGTTGTCTATTGTTTCGATAAATTGTAAATATTAAATTATTATCAAGTAAGCTCTTCATAATACCATAACATAGTACATACCATTTTGTAGAATATAACGACTTTTATATAACTTACATGAAGGAAGCATTAAATCGAGCACTAAAAATTTACTAGAAGCAATAACTTCAAACTATCAAGACTTATATTAAAAAACTTAATATATGTAAACATTAACATATTATAACATTTGCATTTAGTTTTGAATAATTTATTTATTACTTATATTTTTATATGCTTTCATGATTATATATAATTATGATACTTTTATTTTCAGGAATTAATATCGCTATGGCGCAGAATGATAGAACCGTAAGTCTAGTTTATTTTATATGTAGTCAAACCTTTAAACAGCTGCCACTGACTATGACAGTATAGTGTAAAAAATATCACTAGTTGTTTGAAAGTTATTTTGTTTATATTTCAAAAAGTAATGTTTCTGAAAAAATGGCTGCTGTTTAGAGGTGTCCATTATTGGGGTTCGACAGTATTACAGCTATTGTCAGTATTAATTCAAAATTATACACATATTAAAGATAAAAGTGAATTTTAATATAATATATAATGTTAATTCTAGGCAATGGTTTGTTAAAATTACTCAGTATTACTTTTCAATATTATTCTTTTTCTCGTAAAATGGCGTACAATGTAGGCCTAAAAGTTTCGAATAATTTACAAATATACGAATATTCGTTTACCCGGAGTACAGTAAAGTTCAAACTCACCTCATTACATTTTAAATTTAGATTAGCTGAGAATATACCAGTGAGATATTGTTATGGATGAAAATATCGATGTTTTTCAATCTACTCGAGTGTTTAAACTGTGAATTAAAAGGCAAAATGATAAAAACAACTGTCCACCCGAAGTAATCTAAGAAAAACATTTTGGATAATGCTGCACTAACAACGTTCATATCTTCGATTTTAAAAACATCCATTTAATTATAAACGAATCGGTCAAAAAGTCTAACGAAATAAGAATAACGATGACGTCATTTTCGTCATTCTTCGACTATACAAACCTACTCTATGTGAGACACAGAAGAAAGTAAATAATAAGTTAAAGGTCATCTGCACATTAGCAGGAAATAATGCTTATTTTCACCATACGAATACTTCATTGTTTAGCTCTTGCCTGCCTTCGTTATTAGGTTATCTGGGTGACTTAGAACTTTACTCTGTGTCCTATAAATTTGCTTAGCAGGAAATTTTAGGAAAATTAGGAAATGTTTCTACAAAATGTATGATGTAATGTTACAAGTTATATCTGCATACTCAAACTATTCTGATAAACCTTAGATATTTTATGCTCTTACTTGAAAATAGTATAAATCATCACAGCTGTGACTAGGGTATGGGCAATATGGCCCCTGCCATAGGCGCTGATTTAATAAAAGCGTCAACGAGGTTTCGGAATAATATGTATTCGAAATTAATAACACAAAAATTTTTTTATATTTTTATAGTATTTAAATGTCATTAGATAATTTTTTTACTTTAGTATTTTTTAAAAATAAAATTATTTTTTTTTTCATAATAAAAATTAAATAGGCGACATTTTAATTCTTGGCCATAGATGTCCAAAATCCTAGTTATGGCTCCGTGAATCATACTTTATCATTTGAACAGAAAAAAGTATAATTCTCATATATATGTAAAAAACTAAATTTAAATTTTATATGAAAACTATTTTTAGCGTGTTGCTTAGTTTCTGATAACGACAGTTTAATTATAACGAAATATGATAGACATTTCGAGCTTTGAATAATTTATTAATTTATAACATTTTTTGTCGCTGTAACCAGATAAATTATCAGAGAAGCTTTTCGAACGATGTTTTTCCGGCACTTATAATTTACAAAGTTAATTTCGCGAATAATGTCATACCTTAGGAGATTGAACTTTAAAATTTTTAGCATTATTATTACTTATTATATATTTAAAAAATGCATATTTTTGAAGGACAGGAGTGAGTTTATAAAGAAGTACTAATAACGTGTATCACTTTTGTTAAACACGACCTGATTCGAGACACACTACTCTCTTTCCCATTTACAATTAAGTGCTGTTGTCTAATAGCATCGATGCCTGATATATAAAAATAAACCTGCAAAGTTTTTGAAATTTTTATCATGCATACGTTCAGAAATTTGTATGGGTGATTTTACAGTTTAGTTTTCCATGAGTGTTAAACCGTCAAAAAATGCGAAAATAATTGGATCACAATTCTGTATGGTTTATCTGTTGTAAATGTTTGTCTGGCAAAAAGTTATTGTTTAATAAAATTGAACCCAAAAAATTTTTTGTTTTTAATTCTATTAAACAACTAGCAGACCCTGCCACACGTTGTTGTGGCTCAAAATGTATCTATTATAAATTTATAACATTTCCCCGTGGGGGGATTTTTCGAAAAATTTCTTTTTAGTGTACATTCTGTTGACGTATCCTATTAAAACACAATCAAAAACGCAAAAAACCGCATCTAAAGTAGTATAAATAGAAGCAGAGTTCTTTACGGTAAGCCTTAATCCTAACCATCTCCCTTCAGTGTGGGGAATTTCGACACGTATAATATATAAAAACACGTGCGTATTCGAATGCAGCGTTGTGTCAAAATTTTAAAGGAATCGGTAGGAACAAACGAACATTACATTTTTATTTATATAGATAGATAGAAGATGATATACTTTAGTTCATTTTCACAGAAAAGCGTAATGCCTCGCAGAAAAGCAAACTTAGGGCGCTGTACTCGTAGCGCCATCTGTTGGACTTAAAGGCCTTAACCTAGATTATATATTTTAATTTATATGAATGTTTAACGGAATAATATACAGCCTATGTCTAGGCTGAGGTTCCATTCTAAATATTGGTAAAAGCGTTTTTGAGATCGGATGAGTAGTTTCGGAGATTACCTGCTGCAAACAAACTTACATACATACATACTTACAAACATTACCTCTTTATAATATTAGTATAGATAATTGTTCATCTGACAAACATTTACAGAAGAAAATTCTACATATATCGTCACCAGGGGGCAGCGTTTTTAAAAATCTACATTTTCAGCGCCCGTTTCCAGTAGATAAAAAGCAGTCCAAAACCCCCAAACAAGGTATAGATAGATGTAAGCAGGACAAGTGCATGTCACCAGTTCCTTTTTCAAAAAGTTTTAAAATTTTAATTGCATGTGTTTTGGGTTTTTTAAAAAGGACTCTTTGTAATTTTTAGGTGACAAGCATCCTACAAAGAGTGGTTAGTCGCCAAAAAAGTGTATAGTCTTCGAACAGAAATAATAAATGATAATCCCTTTTTGGGAAGTTTGTCTTCAATTTTATTAAATGGTTTATCTATGTTATATTGTATAACAGTAGGAAAATAAAAACTTTAATTTAAGAACATACAAATGTTTTCTGTTCTTGATTGTTAAGATTTTTAGGATACTTTTTATTTGTGAAGAATCTTTTTAGAACAAGTGTTTTTTACAAAGAATTCTGTTCTATTGTTTATGTAAATATGAAATGATACGAAACAAATTATTAACAATGTTTGTTAGTTTTTAAATTAATTGAATTATCTATACAAATAAAATTACATGTCCTGACTGAATGACTGACTGATTGATTAATCATTGTCCAGAGCAAATCGCTGAACATAAAAGGTGAAATTGGGCACACAGTTAGGGTACGCCATTAAGTTCGTTAACCGATTACCCACTGTAATTTTATCAAATTAGTAACAACTCTGCACAGATTTTGCAATTTGATAAAAATAACTCTCTCTCTGTACTTCACAATGTTTCTCACCTTAGTGTACAGAGAGAGAGTTATTTTTATCAAATTGCAAAATCTGCACAGGGTAAAGCCACGGGGACAGCTAGTATGTTTTATAAATGGCGTAACAATAAAATTATTTTATCTAAAAATTTTAATTAGTAATTAAATTATTTTTGTAATATATTATGATATAATCAACTATCCCGTTTATAATTTCATTTTATGCAGAATGCTCCAGCTCCAGGCGTAAGTTATTTGTAATTTTGTGTATTTATATTTTTATATTTTGTGGAACTGTTAAGTATAATTTAGTTAAACTCGGAAAATATATTATTGTTAAATTCTTCATAATTTGATTTTACATCTGACGAATACTTGTTGATTAAAATGTAATAATAAAGAATTATATTTAGTAATGACTATTAAGATTCAGAAATAAACGTTGTAAGTTATGCTGTAGTACAACTCAATGCAATTGTATTTTTAGAGTACAGAAAATAATCCAGACTTTTAGGTAGTGAAAGGACTGAGTACCGGGTCAAAAGAAAATACGAAATGCTGTGACTGTTTTACAAATAGGCGCGAGTGCAAGATTTATTCATGCATTGCTTGCGCTGTTCGAGACATAGTCTGCCAAAAATAGCTTTGCTGTTTTATGTTTCATTAAAAAGTTGATTTTTTCCTAAATACTCGAAATATTTTTCTTGAGAATTTTACTGAATTTCAAATGATTTATTTACTGTAATTAACATAATGTAGCCTACATGAAAAACTGATTCGGTTTTCCTTACTTCATACCGTTAAACTTTATTCTGATAGCAAGAAAGAAAAATTTTAATCCAGACATTGTTTCATTTGAATAAATTGAACTATCGTAAAAATTTATTATTACTCGCTGGTTATGTGTGCTTGAAAGAAACTTTAAACAACTTACGATTATGTAATTGAGGGAGTTATATACTGATTGTATGATGAAAATACATTAAATGAGCTCAACTATAATCTAAAGTTAGTAAGAGCACATCTACGAACTAAGAGAAATCCGTTGAGCACTCCATTCATGTATTGCCTTCATCTTGATATTTCCCCTAGTATATATAGACATATTTCATATTTAGTTTTTTCTATTTATGTTCTGTACTTTAAATATTATAAATAAATTAAATAACGCTTCTATTAGACAATACTATTTAAATTTTTGTTACGGCTAACAGGGAATATTATCTGGCTATAGATCTAAAGTTGTTGTGGCTGTTAACACTGGTGAATTCGTTATATTCTGATGCTTATGAATCTTTTGTCCTCGTTTCGTTCTAATCAACGTTCCAGCACGAAGTGAAGACTTTTTTCTTCTTACCCGTTTATATATAGTTTGTAATCACCCTGGTTTTTACCCCTATGTAGTGAAGATTCGAAAATTTGTCCATTACAGAACTTCCCTTATTTGGACGAGACGTCTTGGTTTGGAACAATTTTCCTATGAGTACAGCAGTTACGATTACCGAGGACAAGGATATTTCTTCGTAGCTTCTAGCAGATTGTGTGTGCTGCAATCTATATCTCACGGATCATTGGGTTCTAGTTCTTGTTTAAAATCACTTCTCTCTTTGCGCCAATGTTTATTCTGTGTTATGTGTTTGGACTAGGGTCCTCTCGAGGAACTTCGATGCATGGAACGGTTTCATCCGCTCCATCTGAACCACATAAACCCATGAGTATTAAAGTACATAGCTAATATTCCAAAGTTATTGTTGTTCACCTTACAATTATTAAAAGATCTTTATATATTATGGGTTAGTCCTTTTGCGATTATTTCTGTATAGCCAGTAACACTAGCTGCCCTTAAAATATTTACAGTATTGTTCGCATCTGTCGTATTTATTCGTACATAGATCCTTGGGATTAGCAATGTAACCAGGCACAATTTCACGAGTGGCCTTCTTGCGCCTAATCCAGACAGGAATATTTTTATCGTCCAATTTATTGTTATCGACAAAATTGATCCTATTTATATGTAAATCAGTACGTAAGAGAATGTCTCTACTATATACCAAATAGAACGTAGTAAAACCTCTAAACTCATTATACATAGTATTATATGCGAAAGCAGAATAATTTAGTAATTCTGACCACTTTCAAGAATTTGTTTAATAGGAATGATTTAAAATACAGTAGAGCATCGATTATCTGACTCAATTGAGGACTCAGGTTGGTCCGATAACTGAAAAAATCGGATAATCGAAAAGAATGAAAAAAATACATTATTAGTATACTATATTAGTATATCCCATGTAATTAGTATACAGTAGAGCGTCGATTTTCCGAATCAATTCGGGACTGGGGTTGTCCGGATAACTGATATTTCAGATAACTGATTTACGTACGAAAAAATAGTTTAACGTATCCAATGTTGAAATTTTTATCCGTTGCGTGTCGCTTCGCGTTGAATTTTCGTCGATGTTAAGCCTAACAACGACTATTGTATCGTTAAAAATTATATTTTTATTTTGTACAAACAAAATAAATNTTTAATATTATTTTTACGTGTTTTAGCTGGCAACAATCATTCGACCATGAAAGGGAGCCAGTATTTAAACGAGGCTTAATTTTCTAATTTTTAACGATACAATAGCGACGATTATTATTTTAAAAAATTTTTGTTAGGCTTAACATCGATAAAAATTCAACGCGAAGTAGGTTAATAGCGATATACAAATATTCTAATTACATGAGATATAATAATATACTACACTAATAATGGATTTTTTCATATTTTTCGGTTATCCGACTTTTCAATTATTCGACCAACTCCAGTCCCCAATTGAGTCGGATAATCGAGGCTCTACTGTATTTGACACACATTTTTATTTTATCTAAAATAATACAACTGTTACAAAGTGTATATAACTGCTATAGTGTGTCTATCAACCATTTTATTTCAAGAATTTTAGGGATGTTTCTTCGATGATCACCCTAAATTTCGATATATTGAGTTGGAACGCTTATTTCCTGGAGTGAAACAGATGTTATTATCCACAAGTCAATCAAAATAAAAACATCCTTAGAAATCGACAAATCAGTAAATTTTATGATAAATGAAATTTTTGTATTAATTTATGATCACACTAAATATTTTTTAACGGTAGATATTCGTGATAAGAATTTTCAGAAAATAAATTTGGTATTACAATTAACCCCCGTATAACACGGCACTTCTATAGCACGGATTCGCTCTAACACGGTTCGAGAATTGGTACTATCCCCCGTATAACACGGTACTTTTATAGCACGGATTCACTCTGCACACGGTTCGAGAAATGGGTAAAACCCTCGTACAAGATGAAATGTAATAAATTTTTACATACTTAAGTACTAATAGTTCACAAAAATTATTATTTTCGTGAACTATTAGTACTTCAATGTGTAAATTTTCTTTTCTTGTCTTCATACACATGGTCCTTCGCGAAAATTGTTTCAATTTTGCCAGATCTCGACGCTTCTGCTTCTGGTATTGCCAGATGTTTTTCTCTTATTCCATAAGTGTTTAGCACCATATAAGGAAATTTATAAAGATCTTTTAACTAGAAGCAAGAAATCTAAAATTACATACACTTTTTGCAAAAAATAAAGCATGCATCTGAAAATAATGCAGAAAAATGCTCAGAGGATAACGATAACTTGCCAAAGATAAAACGCTCTCGGTTAATAGTGCTTTTAGTGATGACAAAGGAAACATTGTTTATATTAATATGTATCACTTAAGAAAATTTTAATAAAAATATTTATCTTAATTATGAAAATATAGTAGCATGTTTTTTAATTTTTGGAACCTAACCCTCCTTTTCGTACTAGTTCTTTGTTTCGCATAACACGGCAATTTTTTGGAACGTAACTACCGT